AAAATGTTAAATAATGCTTTGAAGTTTGAAGTAATTATTTTTTTGTACATTAAACATCTAGCCATTTAACAATTTAAAAAAAAAAACTTTTTGATCTGGTCATATAACATATAACATAACATGCTAGCCCGTACTTTCAGAACTATCCTCAAAATGTCGCTGCAACACATCTTTATTTTGAATATTTGTTGTAAGTTTTGTCTTAATAATTACAACAACATTTTTTTATTATAAAGACTAAATGATTATCACTATGATATGCATTACCAGTAAAAATTTTCTTCGATGTATCTAGGAATAAACTTTAAAGGTAGCAAAAAAAATTTTTTTTAATGTACCTCTTAGTTAACTCCACCTGGTCGATTAGAAGCATGCTTTAACACCTCTCTAACTTCTTCCTTTTTCTGTTCGCATCCATGATGATTATTTTACAAGCGTCTAATTAAAGTTTAAAATCATATATTCACAATAGTTAATAAAAGTAATCAAAATGTTAACTGCGTAATTAATTGCCACTAAAAGGTATATGGTACATGGTTGTTTTTAATGATAATTAAGTATTTCATATATCACATTTAAAAAAAAGTATATATTAAACTTTTTAATATTATGGTTGAATCTTTAAAGTAGGTTATATAAGAACAAAAAACTACAATTCTTATTAAGGGGTTGTCAATAAAGTAGCCGCACACTTTTTTACAGTAAGAGAAACCTCAATTTAAAAAATTTACTGAAGTAAATTTTATTTTTGGAGCAAAATTATCTGTTGTGGTTTCTCCTTCTGTAAAAAAGTGCATACGTACTTTATGGAATTGATTTCAACTCAACATTTCGCTGTCTAGCAGGTGGGCCACAAAATTTGTATGTAAACCTAATAAGTACCAAATTATTTTAAATTTCTTGTAAAAAACAGTAATACTTTTGTTCTTGTAGTTTTTGTAATTGTTACTCAACTAAAGTATTGTAACTTCTACTAACCATTTTCATTATGAATGCTGCCAGTTGTTGAAATATGTGCCGGATTCACCTAACTTACGGATGCAGATCGTGGGTTAATAAAACCTGCAGCAACTCACACAAAAACAGCTGCACTTTCCGCATGTTGCTGCCATTCACTTTTATCTGTATACCTGACAATTCATTGAAACTATTATATGAAAATTTAACATAAATGAATACTATATAACTAGTGATTTCTTTTAAAACAACTAAATATTTTAACATAAAAATGTATTAAAAAAACAAGTGCAACTTCTTTAAGTAAAGAAGTAGTGTACCTATATATAAACATGACTATTATTTGTACTTGTCGGAGTCACCTAGTCGACAGTTGACATTATGTTACAAACCTGACTACTGATCATACTTGTCAACTAATGTTGACAAGTATGAATAGTAGTCAGGTTTGTAACATAATATGTTTATAAATTTTATATAAAATATATAAAAAATTTATTTGTAACATACCATATAAAAATCTTTTTAAAAACTTTCTAATAATTACTTGGTAGAGTAAACAGCTATCAAATGACTGTTCCTTTTTGGCCGTTGAAACTAAAAAATGGTCAAACTTGATGTGTTGCTGCTGTAATAATGCATCGAATTGCATCTTAACAATTACAGCCACCAAGTCTGACAAAATAATTAATCTAAAAAAGCAACTATTGAAACTGTATTTGTAAATTAATATTATGTTTATAAATTTTATATAATATTTATATAAATTATGTAAAAATTAAACTATACATATTTTCACTGGAAATTTGAAACATATTACTGCAAATGTTAAACTTAAAAGTAACACAATCTTTAATTGAGGCTAAATTACAGTCCAAAATCTTTTTTCTTTAGTCCGTCATTAAGACTTAAATTAAGTATAAATAACAGTCATCAACCACAACTACAACAACAACAACAATATATTTACCAGTAAATATTTTATTCTTAAATAATATAATATTGACTGGAAGGCTCAATCACATATAACCTGATATAAAAGTAATAACCTTGTACACAATACAAACTCAAAAAGGACAAGGATGAGATGTATATATATATATATATAGATGAAAAAACAAAGAAAAAAAAATTTGAAATATATAAATACAGTTTTATCTTAACTTAATTTATTTTAATTTACTTTAATTCATCAAGCATTCTCCTGAAGATATATGCAAACCAATATACGTATATATATATATATATATATATATATATATATATATATATATATATATATATATATATATATATATATATATATATATATATATATATATATATATATATATATATATATATATATATACATATATATATATATATATATATATATATATATATATATATATATATATATATATATATATATATATATATATATATATATATGTATATATATATATATATATATATATATATATATATATATATATATATATATATATATATATATATATATATATATATATATATGTATATATATATATATATATATATATATATATATATATATATATATATAAATATATATATATACATATATATATATATATATATATATATATATATATATATATATATATGTATATATATATATATATATATATATATAAATATATATATATATATATATATATATATATATATATATATATATATATATATATATATATATATATATATATATATATATATATATATATATATATATATATATATATATATATATATATAAAAGAGGGATGAGAAGTAGGCACTTGTTGGGTAAATGACCGTGTTTGTTATAATACAGTTGAGGTAAACGTTCAAGAGCTAATAAAGTAACGTTTGCAGTGAACATTAAGTCAATGTTCGCTGTTTGTTATTTGAACGTTGGCAGTGAACGTTCAAGAACTGTAAATCGTTAATTTCTAAAAAAGTTCTTTGTATCTAGAATTTAAAAAAAAAAAAAAAAAAAAAATATATATATATATATATATATGCAAGAAAAAAAAAAAGAGAGGCACGTACCCCACTTGCATTCAACATTTTTTACTTTCATTCACCTGCAAGTCTTATATAAAGGATACAAAGTATTGGTAATTTAAAACAAACGAGGCAATTAATTTTTAATTTGTAAGCGTGCAAGGCAAATAAAATCCAGTAATAAAAGTGCCGTAAATTCCACAAATATGTTTTATTTAATGTTAACTGTATTAACATATAGCAAGAAATGATTATAATACTCTACAAAATAAATCTATACATTTATGCATTTGAAAATAAAAGTGTTGGGTAAATGACCGTGTTTGTTATAATACAGTTGAGGTAAACGTTCAAGAGCTAATAAAGTAACGTTTGCAGTGAACATTAAGTCAATGTTCGCTGTTTGTTATTTGAACGTTGGCAGTGAACGTTCAAGAACTGTAAATCGGAGTTCACAAAAGTTGGTTCAAATAACGTTTGCAGCGTACATTACGCAAACTTTAACGAACGTTTTGGTGACGTTTATTAAACGTTAATTTTAGCTGCAATTAAACATTTTTCTATAACTCTTGCGGGACGTTCATAGAACGTTCTTGAACGCTCATAACGTTTGTCGAACGTGCTCGAACGTTTTGTGTTAGCTGGGATATGCCGATAAAGGTCATCCATTAAATACATCACGGTGAGTTTATAAGTATTCTTTGCAGAGATTTTTGAAATAATATAGCTTTAATATAGATGTTTACCGGTACTTCGTGGTATAACGCAAAGTTTTAAAATTTAAATTTAGTGTGACGTAGTTTATCCACAACCACTTAGACGTTTAAATGATTCGCAAGTCTTAAAATTGTTTATATTCGTTTTCAATTACATATATTCAAAAATATCTCCATATTTAATTCCAAAAGATCTTTGATGATCATTTATTAAATTTTCTAATAAATCAATCTGACTTTAAACAATGACCACCCTTTGACAATAGATCCGCACCTGATATATATATATATATATATATATATATATATATATATATATATATATATATATATATATATATATATATATATATATATATATATATATATATATATATATATATATATATATATATATATATATATATATATATATATATATATATATATATATATATTAGACTGCTTCATTTTGAGGTCATGAAAAAATTTTAAGTACCATGGAGTGTTATCTGCTGCGTTGACCCTTATTTTATTGGTAGAATTTTTTTTTTTTTTAATTTTGACAACTTTTAGGGGTTGCTCAAGTGCCTCAAAAGTCATATTTTAGGCTTTTTTACCCTTTTTTAAGCCCATTTTTTGCACGTTTGAGCAAGTACTAAAACTCAAAAAAATTGAATTTTTTTTTTTTCTAGAGTTTTTTCTAAGTTAGAATAAAAAAATAAAAGTGCATGGTAATTTTTTTTTATTGAAATAATTTGTGTAAATTTATCAAAAACGCAAAGTTATGCAGATTTTTACCGATTATTAGGCATTGCAATATCTTTATGGATATGTTAAGCCATTTGGAAAAAAAAACCTAACTATGTTGCATAAAACATCTATATATAGCATTAAAGGTCTATAAAAACTTAATTATATTGCATGAAACTTCATTAAATTACATGAAACGAAAAAAAATCTAATTATATTGATAAAAACGTCTAGCAATTTTGTTTAACAAATTTTTTTATAATTAAAATTCTATAAAATTTATAACTATTTTTTAAAAATGTTATGTTATATTTTTATATATATATATATTTTTTTCTTGGATTTCTTAGTTTTTCCTCCATACTTCCTTTTGTAATTATGCAAAAATAAAAGTGAATCCTGTCTTTTCTCTTCTTTTCGGGCAATATCAATTTTGTCTTTTATGAGTTTAACGATTCTTTCCGAGCAATCATTAACAACTGAAAGATTAAAAACTACCTCCTGAAATTTTAAGTAGAAATCGTTGCAAGTCCAATATTCTGGAGGAGTTTTCATCCATTGACAGTCACTTTTTTTTTGGCCTATCATAAGGAACAATAGCCACGAATTTTATGTGACCAAATGAACTAAGCTGGGAGGCTTCGGTCCACTGAAGTCTAAAGAATTGAGGACCTCTATGTTAGCACTTATTCGGGCTAACGGATATTCATCCATACTATGAAATTCATAGCTGTATAGTTTTTGAGCAATATCACCTCTTTCTTTACATTTTTCATCAGCTAGAGCTAGTACAATAAGGTAAGGGTCCAGAAACCATGTGTGGCGTTTGATAGATTTAATGACTGATTCTGCCCCAATCAAATTGTACTCCTTAAACCTATTCATTTGCCAAAGCGCTCTCATATCCTGGATAAAACAAAAAACTGTTAAACTTTCTTTAAAAAAAAATTATTTCTTAGATTACTTTTAATAATTATCAAAACTTTTTATTCAAACTAGAACCCTTTTATATATTATATATATATATATATATATATATATATATATATATATATATATATATATATATATATATATATATATATATATATATATATATATATATATATATATATATATATATATTTCATACTTTTTAATTTGGTACCTACCTGATTCGGAGCAGCAGCGGATAGTTCAACTTTGAGAAACCAGGTAGTATAGAAAACAGAGTCAAAAGTTGCCACTTCAGTAATTTCATGCTTCAGCCATTTTTCCAGACTAGGTATAGCATCCATCATAAGTTGGAGTTTTAGGTAGTAGATACCTATAAAAAAAAGTCTTTTTTTTTTAATTTTTAAAAAAGACTAATATTTGATAATGTAAAACAAATTCCTTTTTTTTGCAACTTGAACCTTTTTTTATCATGAACCTACAATCCCTTACCTTTTGCCATAAAGCGGGCATGGTGGACTGCTCCGGGAGTACGAAATTTGTACCTGTCCTCAGAAAGCACCATAAGTGTAAGCTCTGCCAGCTTAATGTAGTCCTTCCTTGTAGCCCCATCCTAAAAATGAAATAAAATAATAAGTATTTAGGTATGATAAAATAAACCTATTTATATTTTAGTATAATAAAGGATAATCGAATTAAAAAAGAAAAATTTATAAAAAAATTTCAACATAAAAGTACATACTACATAGATACCTACTCAGATATCTAGTTATTGGCTACCTTTTTTAGAGACCCACTGGTGATAATATTTCTGCAGAACGTTATGCTTTCATGCTTTTGATGACCAAGCCATGTTTCCTCTGGAATAGTCAATCTTCTCAAAACCTTATTTATTCAAAACGTAAAAAAAAAACTCAAAGAACTCAAAATTGGAAAAAGAAAATTATTTAGAAAAAATAATATTTCACAAAATGGTAGCTAATTTTGTAAAAACCTACCTGGTTGTCTGCATCAAGATCATTCCATGCTGATTTTAAAGTTTTAAACAGCAGATTATCTGGTCCAGAAGTAATGCTACTTTGATAATTTTTCCAGAAATGTGTTATGTGTAGCTCATTGACATGATGTCGGCATGCAATAGATAGAACTGGTCGTTGAAAGACTTCATTTACCAGTAAAGATACAGCTCCATTTTTTTTTCCAGCGTTGATTCTGCTAGTATCAAATGTTACAGCTTGTATATTGTCTGTAAGGTTAAAGCAATTTAAGATATCTCTGATTGCATTTTTTTGATTTTCGCCAGTTCCAGAAGAAATGGGTGGAATTCCCAACAGGTGCGTTTCCTTGTTAGCGTTTATTAATATTGCTAATCGATCTTGTTCCAATTTTTTTCCATCAGCATATTCATGACATACTTTTCCATCAAAATGGAGTTGAACTAAAATGTTCTTATCGATTTTTCTTAAACTTCTTAAATCATCCTTGATCCTATTTGATTCATCATGAATGGCCTTATCTGCAGCGCGTAATGCTGTAGAGGTTGAAGATTTAAATTCAGCTACATTTCCACCCGATTTAGCGATTATACTATTAATCATGGAAGCATGCTGCCTATAACTTATTCCTTCCCCAACAGCAATATCAGCAGTTCTCTTGAGAATATCTTTTGGATGCATAACAGTATTAGTTTTTTTGACTTTTTTCTTTAACTCTGGATCTGGGTATGAAAAATCATCATTACCTTCATCTTTCTCCGATCCATTTGAGCTGAATTCACTCTCTGACATGGTTTCATGCAAATTTGATTTCCTTTTAATTTTGGATAAACTCCTGTTTACAGAGTAAAGGTACCTTGTATCGATTCCACCTATTCTAGTTTTTCTATCTCCTAATTAGTCTAAAAAAAATGCAATATCTTCAGTCTTGTCTTGATCCTTTCGTTTCCTATCAGCTTTAATGATTGCAACCAGAGTAAAAGCTCAGGTGCAATCAAAAAGATACTTTTCATCTGAGTTAAAAACCTCCTCCTTTTTTCAATCTCTGATAAAGTTTGACTTGCTTTGTTTTTTTTTAACAGTTTCCAGGTTCGGATCAGCTTCTCTATCTTTATACTAAAAAATGTGATTTATAGGTTCGGTATATTTTACAACACACCTATTTCTGTTTATTAACTTATTTAACAGCAGACATTAGTTATATTAATATTTTCCGCTAATAAGTAATAATATATAAATAAAAAAAACATATACAGTCTGGTACCTACCTAATTGTTTGTAATTGTAAAATCTGAAATCCACCCTTCAACCAAGGTGTAATTAACTGTTTTTCAATATGACAGCTGATTTCAAAGTTTTTTGTCAATGGACAGTGGATAATTCTACTTTCTTTTTGTTTTGAGTGCTTCTCCTTCAAATGCAAGAAGTATTGCAAAACCTCTTGCTTTGTAGCAAACTTGTCTTTTGATAAGGATGACCTGGATTCCCTTACCAAAAAATGTGTCAACTTTTTTCTTACTTTTCCCTGACATGAATAAATCGGTAGTAAATAGCTTTAATTAGTCTATGGAGTAAGTATATCATAAGAGTAATCTATATTTATTTCCCGCGTTTTTTTAATCAAAATTAAATATCGTTTTTGTTAAAAAGTAATATGCATAACATGTTTAAGCAAATACACAACATTTTTAAATTAACGCGAAGCGCAACAATTGCATAATTTTGCGTTTTTGTAGATAAATTTACAGAAATTATTTCAATAAAATAAAGTTACCATGCATTTTTATTTTTTTATTCTAACATAGAAAAAACTCTAGAAAAAAAAAAATTCAATTTTTTTGAGTTTTAGTACTTGCTCAAACGTGCGAAAAATGGGCTTAAAAAAGGGTAAAAAAGCCTAAAATATGACTTTTGAGGCACTTGAGCAACCCCTAAAAGTCGTCAAAATTAAAAAAAAAAAAAATTCTACTAATAAAATAAGGGTCAACGCAGCAGATAACACTCCATGGTACTTAAAATTTTTTCATGACCTCAAAATGAAGCAGTCTAATATATATATATATATATATATATATATATATATATATATATATATATATATATATATATATATATATATATATATATATATATATATATATATATATATATATATATATATATATATATATATATATATATATATATATATATATATATATATTTACTCACAAATGCATATATCTAAGCACATTTGAGTAAGGTGTCTCATACTAAAATGTTTATGGAGAGGTTGCTGTACATACATATATATACTTAAGGTTTGGGTGTAGGAAGGTATAATTTAGATATAGACATTTATTATATGTATATATTTTAAATTTGCCTCTTCAAAGCTGATGGGGGTACCTTTTCTTTTTTTTCAACTATTGTTTGTTTCCACTTGACTATTATTCCAAAACACAAAGCTTAACAAACAGAACAGTTATGCTAAGTAACTAGTTAAGTAAATACTAAAAACACTTGCTGAGAATTGAACTATCAATAGTCAATAAGTTACTTATTCAACTTGAATATTGAATATAGACACATGAAAGTTTATTTAAAACATTTCCTTAGTAAAAAAATAAATTTATTTCAGTAATTTTTATGGTTTCAAAAGTGACGGTCACTTTCATTTTTGCTTAATAAAAAAAATAATTATTGTAAAATGCTTTAGTTAAATTAACATTTATGTTAAATTGCTATATTTTTTTGGTTCAAATTGATAAGGTTGAATAGACATTTTATTAGAAATTAAACTAAGACAGGGCTCGAATTAACGCAAAAAAATCTAATCGCAAAAAAAATTTTTTTTTTTGCTCTCTCCCCCCTTTCTCTTATAGCTCGCGCCGATGGGGGGAAAAAATTATCGTCTGGGGGGGAAAAAATTATCGTCAATAAATCAAAAAACATGGTCAAAAACTTAATAAAAATTAGATACCACGTTTTTTAAAATTTATTGTTTCTTGAATAAAGGACTAATAAAAGTTTAAGTATAATTAAGTTTTTCATTTAAATGGTTGATGTTTTTATTCAATTTTTCTATTTCAAGTTTTCCAATAAAAGACGAAACAGAAAAATTTGGTTTAATAAATCGTATAATTCGATTTATTCATGTTTAAAATAAGGCTTAAAAACTTTAAAGTAAAACAATTGCTGGTTTTTATTAGCATTTTTATACTGTTTGAAAAAAAAACTAATAAAAAAGAATTAACTAATAATACAGGGGCGGATGCAGGATTTTTTGTGGGTGTTGCCTGTTTTTTTTCAAGTTGCCAAAATAGTTTGCAATATTTTTTTTGTAAGCCCCTTCCCCGGGCTAGCAAGGGGGGGGGGAGTTCAAAGCGGCATCAGTACTTTATTATTACTTACCAGGCATTGTTCTCAATTACCCATATAAAACAAAACTAACAACAATATTGCCTTGGCTATTCTGTTCATAAATTAGACATTTTTTACTTGTCTAACCTATTTAACGAAGTGCACCAACGAGAAGGTAAGCCATAGGACTTTGCACTCCATCTGTTAACTGTCATGTGGCCTAAGGTTAGCCCTCCATTTCTGGATTCTTTCCTTTTCTTGATAGGCAGTTAGTGTAAATTAATTGTATTGTGGCCTTAGGTTAGACCTCCATTTCTGGATTCTTACCTCTTCTCGATAGGCAGTTAATGTAAATTATTAATATTATTACCTTAGGTTAGCCATCCCTTTCTGGATTCTTTCCTTTTCTTGAAAGGCAGTTTATGTAAAGTATTAATATTGTTGCCTTAGGTTAGCCCTCCATTTCTGGATTCTTTCCTTTTCTTGATAGGCAGTTAAGCCAATTTTTTTTTTTAAGTTTTTTTTTTTAATTTTTTATTTTGTTTTTTCTAATTTTCATGAAATATAAAATAAACTTAAATATAAAACAAACTAAAATACAAGAATATAGTCAATAAATAAAAAAGAAATTAATAAATTAATATTAGGTAAAAACCAACTCTAAGCGTCGTTCCCCTAAAACAGAAAAAATATTCAAAACTTTTTCTACATCAGGAATTATATCTTGATGAATAGATATCAGAGCTAAAGAATTAAATTTTGACTCTGTCATGCGGCTTCGCATAAAAGTTTTCAGTCTGCGTATAACAGAAATGCTCCTCTCGCATTCACATGTAGTAATTGGAATTGTTCCCATTATTAAAAAACCTTCCCTAATGTTTGAGAAACTCCTCATATCAATAGATTTTAAAGCTTCTGTAATAGTGGATGGGATCACAGATTGATTGTTCCAAAATGTTTCCCACAAATCTAATTCAGCATGAATTGATGTAGGATGAGGCATATCCGATATATAAAAATGCAAAAATTCCATAAAATCTAACTTCCAAAAACATTTTCCTTTATTTTTTTTTCAACAGTTGCAGGAATACCAGATAAACCTTTGTAAACAACCATATCACTAGTATCAAATCTATCTTCTAATTCATTAATTAAATGATCTAGAAGAGGAGATGTGATGGAATATTTGAAGTAATCTGAAACTGTGTCAGAGGGATAATTATCTCTATAAATTTGTCTGCCACAGAGCCTTGGTTTAACTTCTGAAACATCAAGAGTCTTAGCTAGATCAAGAGCAATTAAGTACCATTCGTTAAAATAGACACCAATATTTTTTTTTAAATCTAAAATTTGAGTTTTTAAACAATTTATTTCATTACACTGTTGTGATATATCAAACGCTTTAGTTTGAAGAACAACAGTGATGGTATAGAAATAGTCTATTATTTGTTTGGTTAAAACTAAACTTACAATAAAAGAAAAATTAGTCATAAGATTTAAAAAACATGAAGCCTTTGAAGAAGTATCAATATTATAACTCTTACCTTCATTGTATGCCATTTCTTCCATAGAATGAAAAACAGATATGTAGTTATCAAAAAAAAACATCCAGACCTTTAAGTTTCTGAACCCATCTAGTTCGACATGTATCGATTAATTTTGCTTGACCAGGAAAAATGAATTTATTAAGACAGCTGGCACGTTTAGGTGATAAGTTAAAAAAATATGATATATCTTTGATTTGATCAAGAACATTTCTAACACTTTGAACATTGCATGATTTACTTACAACTAAATTAAGTTTATGGCATGCACAGTGAACAAAAATAGCCTTTGAATTGATAAATTTAATTCTTGATGAAATACCTTTTAATTTACCAGACATTGCACCAGCACCATCATATTCTTGACCTCTACATTTTTGGATATCAAGACTATAATCATCAATTGCAGAAACTATGTTTTGCGCAAGACTAAGACCAGTTGCACCAGATTTACATTCAATGAACCGTAGAAAATCTTCACAAATAACATTATCACAGTCAATGTATCTTATAACTAGAGATAGCTGTTCAACATTAGAACAATCAGAGGCTCCATCACACAAGGTAGAAAAATAACCTGACTTTTTAATTTTATTAATTAGAACTTCTTCAATTATTTTTCCACAGCATTCAATAAGTTTGTTTTGTTTGGTTTTAGATATATAGGTTGCATTTTTAGGAGCAGAACGAATATGGTGCTCAAGAACTTTATCACCTGCTTCAATGCGAAAATTTAAAAGCTCTACAAAGTTACCTATACCCATGTTGTTTTTACATGCTTCTCCGATCTCTGGATGATACTTACTGTCATCATGATGACTTCAAAAAGCAATATCATTGCTGCCAAGAAAAATAATTGTCTTTATAATTGGAATTATTTTATTTCGATTACTTATAATAAGTTTT